CCAGGCCCGCCAACGAAATTAGGGTTAGCTACCTATGGAATGTTCTGGAACAACCTGGCAACTATAAGTAGCGATCCAGCCTTAGACGTAAGGGCATCTAAAACTAGCTACATTTCACATTATCCTCCTGCTAACTTAAGCATCGGAGCCCGTGTGACTAGTGTCGCACCGGTTTAGATCATCTGGTTTTGCAGGTACTAGTCCCGGATCAACAAGTTTGGTAGGTGCGAGGAGGAGAACCGGAGGACCGAAATCCACGCATCAACATCTTTCTTCACCGACTTTGATGCAGAACCAATCAGAGCTCCGTCGTTTGGGTTCCGGAGGCGATTGCTGCTTGTTAGAATTCATATAAATGAATTAAATTTACTCAACCCATCAGCTTAAGTTTTTGGGTTGAGTGGTAGTTTGTTCATTCTTAAGATGATATCAGAGCATGATAATAACAATACCAAATCTTTGTTGTTGGTATATGTTTTTATTGTTAAAATACATCCAAAAAATCTATGTGGATACGACTTTGTTACGTACTACAACCGACGAATCGTCGACACAGTTGTGTGGATGCAACACGTACCGGAAAGGTATGAAGTTGGACTAATTTGGAAACACTGGGCAATGCGAAGAACCTCGGGGGTGACTGCAATGTGCAGAAATCTCACTCACCGACCTAAGTGACGAGCAAACACTCGAACATCCTCACGTTTGGGGTCGACGTCGGGAACTTCTACTGGTTCTGGAGCCACCGGGTTCTGAATGACCTCCCTCTTACGGTTAAAAAAGTGGTTAACCATCTTCAATAAATCCATCCATCTCGTCGAGACGAAAAACGTGTCTCAACTACAATTGTCATATAGGCCTGAGTCGAACATCCAATTGCTTCAATTTAAATTATTTTGAGGAGAAAAAAAATCGTAGGCTAACGTCGTCGAAGAGGTTCGATGGGAGCAGACTCGTAATCGTGTAGATGCCTTGTTACATAATGGAAGAGACAAATTTCGAGTTAAATAAAAATGTTATTTTTGTTATCTTAATAAAAGTAAGAAATGGTATATAGTAACTAAATGACATTTTTAATTATCTCATACAAATTAATATTTACATATATAAATAAAGATCAACAATAACTTTTTGAAAATTGAGAAAATTAAAAAATGAAAGAAAAAAAGAATTAAAAAAATAGGGTGCAAAAAGTTAGGACTAGAGTATAAATAAACAAATAAACAAAAATAGGTATTTAATTAGAAGAGAGAGAACGGCAGCAAGAAAGCACATCAAATTTGTTTTCTTTGCCTATAAGAACTTTTTTGGGACTTTTTTCAATTTAGATAGTTTCAACCTCTCATCGTGTAAAAAAAAAAAAGTTAGCCTCTCATATTTTAATAAATTTTAATTTAATCCCTTAGGCCTCACCATCGATATATTAAAATTGGTCGATAATAAACTTACTTGATATAATAATGAGTGAATTAATAAAAATTCATAAGATAAAAATATTAGAAAACTCGAAGTTTTTACCGGTTTCTTAGAAATTTAGATAATAAATTATAAACTTTTATCTCTTAAATGATCTTTTACCTCTCTAAATCTAAAATTTTTTTAAGTATGGTACTTTATAAGTTTATCATGAGTCAATTTTAACATCTAAGGTGAGAGACTAAATTGAAATATTAAAATATAAATGACTAAATTGAAATTGAAACTTTTTAAATAGTAGGTTCTGAATTTAAAAATAAAACTAATTTTAATATTTAATGTTAAAATGTTAAAATTTAGCCGAAGTTTTCTCATTTTCATGGGGTAGCATGTGTATTAAAAATAATTCTGCTTTTTTTTTTTGGGCGTTAAAATGGCCCAAAGGTGGTTAAGAAAATGACTTAAAAAGGCCACTGATGTTTTGAGAGAATTTGGAAATGTTTTCTTTTTAGTTTAAAAAGATGGAACAATCAAACTTTAAAATGGTCACACGTGTTTTTATCCCTTGAGTGTTGGCAAAAATATTCAGTACATATATACTTTCAAAATTTTAAAATAAATTAAATTCATGAAACTTTTATGATAAATACAATTTTAATGTAAATTTTGGAATTATAATAAAATCCAAAAAAGAATTTAAAAGAATAAGGAAAATCTAACTTATGCAACTTAAAAGATATTAATTAGTTTAAGTTCAGCAAAACGAGTATATAGGTTAGTGATAATTGACATGTATTTTCAACCATGAGACTATGAGTTCGATTTCTCGTCCTTACTTATCGTACTTTAAAAAAAAAGTTTACGTTCGATGGCGTGCATATGCGATGTCAATCGCCTAAATTTTTGTTTTTGATTAATAAATGATTGGATAAGAAAGATTAAATAAATTAATGGATAGTTATTTTTTAGTCATTTAAATTTTTAAAAAAATTAATTTTTTCTCCCTATTTACCCATTCAATTAACAACCTATCAAAGTAGATAGCTCAATTTTGCACTCGATTAAATCACATATGAAAATTTCATCAAAATGTTTTTTATTTATTAAAATTGGGWGTCAACTTGCACCATCTCATCTAAATTTCAAGAAATTGATTACTATATATCTATGCAATTTATTTATTAGAATAAACAAAATTTCAAAACCGATAAATTTAATTGAACATTCTTAAAGTTTGAAGAGGGAATATAAATACTATCTTAGTACAAAGACAAATATATAATTTTAACTTAAATATTATTGTTTGTTTCAAGGTTGTGGGTGGAAATGGATCTAGAGAAAAAGGGAGATCCAAAACTTTACCAAAAAGATAAAATAAAAATAATAAAAGTAAATAATAATAATTAAAAAATGATTGGGTGTGACAAATGCTATAACCTTTTTGAAGCCTTAAGCAATCCTTCATTCATTAATTATTGACCAACTTTTCTTCTCTCTCTCTCTTTTTGGTTTGCATTTAAGAAGCTTATTCATAAACTAATGACCTTTTTAAGTGCTCTTTTGTTAATATTAATAAAATAATGTAAAAAGCAAAGCATTTTTTAACTATTAAAGGGTCTTATTTTATAAATAACTAATAATTTTAAGTACGTGTATTTAAATTCATTTCTGGTATTGAAACTTTCGATGTTTATTTTATTTTAATCTTTAGAAATTCAAACAAAATATAAATTCACGACGAATTAAGGACCTTAAGAACAACTTATGCTGCAACTAATTCAGGTGAACTTCCGATCCAACCATGATTTTAAGCTTTAGAGATTCAAACTAAATATAAGTTCATGGATTAAGCTCTTCACGTCTTCAAAAATTTCAACAGCTTCGTATATAAATTGCCAACTTGGTGAAAAACCGTTTTTAATCATCTCTTTGTGAATGGTCTTGATGTGTTAGGGTCTCTTAGCCCTACCCCTAGCATCCAACAAGCTGCTCTATATATAACCAAGTTAGGCTTGATGCCTATAGCCTTCATTTCTTCACACATTCAAGCACCATTCATAGTTCACAGCCACTCCATTAATTTTGATCAATGTCGAGAATGTCGCATGATCAATATGCTAGTTTTCGATTCTTGCACGATACAACTTGAAAGCCATGTCAACATTACCAGCCCGCCCAGCGACGTGAATCATCGCATACTTCTATTGGCAAGGAGTCTATCGAGTATGTTCATGATGTAGATTCTCTAAAGCAAGTGTGAGATATACCTGAAAGGTTATTCATTCAGAAAACACAACGAGTTGCAAGTGTGAGATACACTTGAAAGGTTGTTCACTCAGAAAACACGACGACGACGTTCCAGTATTTGAAGAATGTAAACTTGTAGGAAAAATTCAAGGTAATTTGTCAATTTCAGAATATTTTCTGAAAGTTAAAACTTTGTGTTATGAAATTTTAAAATTGGACAAGGAGGAGCCCGTTAGTGATGCTTGTTTGCGTTGGTATCTTTTTCATGGATTGCGAAAGGAGTTTATGTCAGTTTATTTATTCCATACAAGATTGGGTAAACCAACATTTCTATCATTGAGTTGGAAAATTTGCTATCAAAGGAGAAATCTCAGTGAAACAAATACTTTACTTGGTGATCATAATAAGAAATCTTCCCTCGAGGTTGAAGGTATTCTTTATACAAAAGACAAAAGTAGAAAGAAATTATGTTTCTGAATGCTCTTCAGATGATGGCAAGCGCATAAATAAAAGGCAGTCCAAAGGTAATTCTAAATGATGCTTTAGGTGTGGAAAACCGAGACATATCAAACATGATTATCGGGTGAATGTGGTATGTTGTCGATGTGGGAAACCATGCCATATTAAACAAAATTGTCGAGTGAAACTTAAAAAAGCAGAAACAAGATGTTGTACAGGAAATTAACAAGTCTGAAAGATTCAATTGGAAACATGGTTAATCAATTGAAATTGTTGATCAACCCATTAATTATTTTATTGATGCTTCTTTTGATGAGGATTGGTCTGTTGGTCATGGTTGTTTTCATCCAAACTATTGGAGATTTTTCTCTTCTCTATGATGTTTGTACTCATCACGGACGAAGATCTAATGTGGCGGCTAATAATTCCTCTCTCCTGATGTGGTTACATGTCAATGTTGAAAATTGTGAATTGCGTTTTTGTTGCCCGTAAAGATGACTGTCATGGTCCAAATTTGAAGGAGAATTTTGTTTGAGTCTCTCATGTTGCTGATGTTGGGTGTCTTTCTGGAAACAAGTTGAATTGTGGTAGAAATTCTGTTAATTCTTGTGCTGAAGATAATACAAGAATTAGCAAAATTTCTTATAGATGTATTTGTTGCTGGACTAACATTTGTTCTTCTGGTTGGATTATTGTTTTTCTACAAGGGTAACTATAAAGGCTACACGTGCAGAGTCATGTAATTTAAATTATTTAAATTTAATAATTAGTTTATACATTTTATTTTTGTAAAAGAATATTAAAATTCAACCAACTTTAATAAAGTCAGTTTAACAAAATACAAAACACACTTATTAAACCTAGAAACACCAACAGACTTAACAAATTCAAACTTAATAAATCTATTTCTGCACCAACCAAACACAGACTTAATAAACTAAAGGTTTAACAAACCCAACTTAATAAACCAGCAAAACATCCAACCGATCACCCCTAAGTTTACCCGTAAACACGAATGACCACCACTCACAGACTGCCACCTGTCACATGACACTGCATCCAGCTGCATTTTTTTCATTAAGATGCTCAGAGTAGCTGACGTAACAGGGCCCCCCTCCGCCGCAACTGTTATAAATGGGCCTTCCAGAAGCGCAGCCATCACAACATGGGCCGGGCCTACCGTACCCTTGATAACATGGGCCGCAACCAATCCCTTCGTAGCACCGTCTACAGCCCGTCCCAAACGGGTACGCCAGCGGGTACCCGAGAACCGGGTCGGATTGGACCGGAGTGAGAATCTGCGGCGGAGCCGGTGTTAGTGCAGCCGCTGGCTTCCCCGCCGGAGGTTGTGGGTGTTTTTGCTTCGTAGGGTTGGCGGGTTTCGCTGCCGGAGGAGAGTCTTTTGATCTCTCCGGCGGAGGATCGGTTTGTTTTTGCGGAGGGGGCTTGGGTTTTTCAGGCTCTTTGATCTCAATGCTCTTAATAACCCCACGCCCTTTGCAGCAAATATTATCTCTCAACTTCTCAGGATTGCAACAAACCACTTTGATAATCACAGCGTTCAATTTTTCATCATAAATCCGGTCTCGAATTTCTGCGGCTCAAAAACACGTTTTCATTTCTCCTTTCCGTTTCAACATACTTTTCAATAAAGGAGAATAGAACTGTATGTCGACACTCATATGAAAATGCGAAGAATCTTAAATTTTTATACAATTTTGAGATTGTTTCTAAAAAAAATATTTCTTAATAGGATTGGAGACCAGAATAATAAGTAAAGAGAACATTACCAAGAAGAATAAGGGAAGAAAAAAAAACTCACGATGGAATTTGGAGAGAACTTTCCTGACTTTATTATAGCATCGATGGCACTGCAAATCCACTGTCAGCACCATGATAGCATCCTTCGACTGTAAGTACACCAAAACAAAAAAGAGGAAAAAAAAACCCAAATGAAGCATAAGCGATGGAGCAGAAGGAAATCAAAAAATGGGAAGAGAAACAGAGTAATGCGAAGGGACCTTGTGATTGTCCGCCATGGAAGGAGATGGAGAAAAGTTAGAGAGAGAGAGAGAGAGAGGGGAAATGAGAATTATAAGCTGCTAGGTCGGTGAATTTTGAGTTGAGAGAAAAAACTTCGGCTGCCAATCCGTGCGCGATAAGTTTAATTTTCTTGTCGGATGCACAAAGAAAAATTGAATTAATTTTCGATCATAGCTTGAAAAGATGAGTGATAAACAAAGATTTATAATAGGTATGATCAATTTTTCCTCGATGAATTTTGATAGACTATTATTATAGTTCAAAATACTTAAATGAAGATTGGATCCAGATCAGTGAGTCAAAAGAGCCACATGTCATCCTTTTTCCTTTTTTTCCTCCCGTCTCTTCTTTATAACACATCATTTATAGATATATTTATTACCAATATTTATTTGTTAAATTATAAAAGAATAAAATTAATTCTAAAATGGGGAATTCAATTCTCGCTTTAGACATGAGCAGGAACATGAAAATGAAAGATCGAAGAGAACAATATGTGCAAATTTCCTTGCATGGTCTCGATCTCGTTGGGTGGTACTCCTCTCCATGAATGTTGACTTTTTTCTAAAGATAGAGAGAAAAAAATTATATATATATGCTTTTGCTCCAAGAAACTCTCTAAACATTACCTCGGGAGAAAAAAAGTTAGGACTAGAGTATAAATAAATAAATAAATAATTTAATTATGAAGAGAGAGAGAATGGCAGCAACTTGCACTTCGAAATGTCCTCTTGTTCACACATCGGTGAAAAGCACATCAACTTTGTTTTATTTGCCTATAAGATTTTTTTTCGGACTTTTTTTTTCAATTTAAATAATTTCAGCCTCTCATCGTGTAAAAAAAAAAAAACAAATCAAAACTTAAAGTCTCTCATATTTTAATAAATTAAAATTGAGAGATAACAAACTTACAAGAATTAATAAAATATTATAAGATAAAAATATTATAAAAAAAACTCGACGTTTCTAATAATTTCTTAGAATTTAGAAAATAAATTAAAAACTTTATTCACTAAATTTACACAAATATAATTAGTATTATGTCTTATGAGTGGATGATTATATTAGAAAATGTTAAAATATAATTGATTAAATTGAAACCTTTTAAACTATTAGATCTAAATTAAAAAGGAAAATACTTAAACATTAAAGATTTTAATCTTTAACGAAGTTTTCTTATTTTCATGTTGTAGCATGTATAGTAAAACTTAAAAATAATGCAAGTTTTTCTTTTCTTTCAATTTTCAAATGGCCCAAAGATTAGACCGTTGATAATTTTTAGAGAATTTACAGAATTTAGAAACCCTTTGTTATTTTTAATTTAAAAAGATCAAACCGTCAAACCTTAAAATGATCCTATATGTCTTTATCCATTGAACGTTGGTAAAAATATTCAATATATATCGTACATTATTCCTTAGATACTCTCAATGAAACTATTATGATAAATAGAATTAATTTTAATGTAAAATTTGGAATTATAGTAAAATAAATGTAAAATAAAATTTAAAAAAAGGAATTTAAAAGAAAAAAAATCTAGCTTAAGCAACTTAAGATATTAATTAGTTTTAGTAGGAGAGAATTGTGAGCCAAATTGGAACTGCACGATGCGCGCATTTATTTGATGTCGCCGAAATTTTTATTTCTAATTAATAAATTATTGGATAAGGAAGATTAAATAAATTAAGGATAAAATCATTTAAGTTTTAAAATAAATCATTTTTGTCTCAAAATTTCAAAATCTTACCATTTTGCCTCAATTTTGAAATATATGAAATTAATGAGATGGATAATTATCAGATCTATTTATTTTCCAATTAATCTTTCGTGGACAAGTCCTCTATTGTCATCTTGAAGGTGGATGGTTCGATCTTCTACCTGACTAAATCACAGGATCTCATACAAAATTTCATCAAAATATTTTTTTATTTGTTGAAATTTGGTGTCAATTCGAACCATCGTCTAAATTTCAAGAAATTAATTGTCATATATCTCTGTAATTTATCTATAAGAATAAGCAAAATTCAAAATAATAAATTTAATTGAATTTTTTTAAAGTTTCAAGAGGGAATATAAATACTATGTTATAACCTATGTGTACAAAGACAAATTATATAATTTAACTTAAATATTATTGTTGTTTCAAGGTTGGTGGGTGGAAATGGATCCGGAGAAAAAGGAAGACCCAAAACTTTGCCAAAAAATTAAAGTAATAAGAATATATTTTTTTTTTGAAACAATTAAAATAATAATAATAATAAAAGTAAGTAATAATAATTAAAAAAATGATTGGGTGTGACAAAGGCTACCACCTTTTTTGTTACATTTAAGAAGCCAATGTTATTCATAAACTAATGACCCTTTTAATGTGCTTTTTCTAAAAAAAATTGTTTAATGTATTCTTAATAAAATAATGTAAAAAGCAAAGCATTTTTTAAACTACTAAAGGGTCTTATTTTATAAATAATTAATAATTTTAGGTACAGTGTGTTTAATTTCATTTGTGGTACTGAAACTTTCATGTTTATTTTATTTTGATCTGTAGAGATTTAAACTAAGTATAAGTTCATGAATTATATTTAATCATCTTCTCGCTGAAATTCGTGCAATTTTTGTTCGCGGTCCAGTTTATCAAAATTCGTGTTCATTCTGATTCTCTTGTCACGGTCTAGCTTATCAAAAATCAATCTTCTCCCTTAGATCCGGAAGGTGTTTGGCTCCACGATATCAATCTGCTAACCAATATTCTCCATGGTTTCGACGCCGATCATGTCCTTCGAGAGTTCAACTGGTCGGCCGATTGGTTAGCAAAACAGAGTGTTGGTACCAAGGTTTCTTGTTCTTGACTTGGAAATTTTCCCCCCACGATCCATTTCCTTACCCATCAAGAAATGTTATCTTCTGTAGTTCATGTGATCAGTTGAAGTTCCTTTTTCCCTGTATATATATATATATAAAAGTTCATGAATTAAGCTGTTCATGTCTTCAAAAATTTCAACAGCTCCATTAAAGTAGCCAACATTAGGGCACATAACTAAAAGTGTGTTGAAGAGAGTTACATTTAACTTCAATCATTTTTCCTTCCTTTCCTTGTATACAATGAGGGCATCCTCTCACTATATCTAGCCCTCCTTGTCACGGAAAATTGACATATATAATCCAAAAACGTTTTCACTTTATTCGAATGACTCAACTTTTGTAACTTAATAAATGCATTTTTGAAATTGTAAGGCAGATGAGAGAACTATTATAAGAAATCGATGAATATAACCCAAAAAAGTTTTCAATTTGCTCAATTGACCTACCTTTTTAATACTTAGGTTTCAACCTAATAAATGTTTTTTTGAAATGTCAGATGAAATGACTGTTAATGTCCCTTATCATTTTCTTTCTTTACCTCTTCTCTTGTTTTTCGGTTATCTTTCTCTTCTCATTTTGTTCGCTTTCGATTTTCGTCACTTTCTTCTTATTCGAATGGGGACTCAGATACAACTTTAATCTAGGATGATTTTTTTTTTATTTGGGTTCATTGAAATTAAAATGGACATAAATCTCGGACTTGAAGCCATATACATAAATCTCGAACTTGAATCCATAATGTATAAATCTCGACCCCCAAGATTTTTTTTTTAAATTTGGGTTGGTTGAAATTAAATGGATAAATATTGAGCTTGAATATTGCCTAAGATTCATGCAAACTCGAGTGAGTTTGAAGAAAACTTGCCCAAGATTCATGTAAAACTTGAGCAAGTTTAAATGAATCTTGGGCAAGTTTTTTCGAACTCCCCAAATTTTACATGAATCCTATTTAATTTCAATGAACCCAAATTAAAAAAAAGAAAATCTAGGGAACGAAATTTATGCAATATAGATTCAAGTTCAAGATTTATGCTTATATTATCCTGCATTAAAGTTATAACTCAATCTCCATTTGAATTCGAAGAAAGTGATGAAAATCGAAATCGAAAAAAAAAAAACAGAGAAGAGAAAGAAAACTGAAAAACAAAGAAAAGAAAGAGAAAAAAAATGAGAATGTACATAATAGTCAACAAATTGATGGAGTTGACCGGTAAAAGTTTCCTGTTTGCTCGAATAACCTACTTTTTAAAAATATATTTTTTGACTTACGAGTTTAAACAAAAAAAATCAACTCTATCGTTTTTTCCCCTAAATCCTACGCACGAGAATATTTTTTCAACAAATTTTTAAATGAAAAATCTATCAAAAAGTAAAATTTACAACACAGATGAAAATTACAACATTTTGTAAAGTACAACTTGATACGCATTTTCAAGTTCAAAGTTTAAAATTGATATTTTTCTATTAGGTTTATATTCCTTTGTGCTTTTGAGGTAAAATCTTGGATCTGCTTGCGACGAGTTCACTCAATTGTATACATTGTACGTGATTTAGCTAACCTACTTTTGGAATTATTTTCAAACTACCACATTTTTTGTTTTTTTTTTTAATTACATTATTCTAAAAAAAAAATCCAAATTTTAGAGTTGAAAAAGATGTTTCAAAATAACTATATTTTGAAAGCGAAATGGGCCAAGGCTTGTGTTCTAGCAACTCGAAAGTTGGGCCATTTGACCAAAGAGTTTTTTTTTTTTTTTTGACTAAAATGAACCGCTAATCTCATACAGAACCAAACTCGAAAAACTGTGAGCAATTAGATTATATTATTAGATTATGTAATTTGAAATAGACTTAAATTTAGATTAGTTTATTTGAATTAAGTTTTATTTCCTATTATGATTTGGGTTTATCTTTAAATTAGTCTTTTATTTATACTTTACTAGTATCAGTAGGTCATTCAATTTTGCATTTATCAAACAATTATATTTAGTGAAACCATAATCATTTCGGCATATTCTCTCAATTTTATCATTCCTCTAAATTCACACTTATACCTTATATTAATGTGAGCTAACATCCCAGAGGAAGGTTTTTATAAAATTAACATAAATGCAGCAGTCAATTAAAAAATAAAAATAATACCTTTAAGATTTCAATTTCTTTTTTAGTTCAACAAATATGAGGCGAAGATTTAAATCTCGAACGGATTCAAAAGTAATTGCGGCTCA